ACAGATTTGTTGGTTCTTTTGGCAGCCCATGGCACTTTCAATATTCTCTTCCAACACCATAACTCAAAAGCATCAATTCTTCTACAATCTTCCTTATTCACTGTCCAGCTTTCACATGCATATGATGTTATTGAAAATACCATGGCTTGGGTCAGGCGCACCTTAGTCCTGAAGCTGACATCTCTGCTCTTCAACACTTTAAAAAGGTCTTGTGCAGCAGATTTGCCTAATGCAATACATTGTTTGATTTCTTGACTAGCATTATGAAAAAGTTTGAAATATTGTGAAAATTACCAAAATGCGACACAGTGATTCAAAGTATGCACATGCTGTTGGAAAAACAGCGCTGATACATTTACTCAACACAGCGTTGCCACAAACCTTCAATGTGTTTTAAAACAAATGCATATACTGCAAAGAAGAATCAACTGAATCACAATAAAATGGCATATGCCTTTAGTATATCATTAGGATATCTACTTATTTCTATTAGGTATATTATCTCAATGTGAAACTGTTCTGTCATAAGGTATGCCGTCGAGTCGGTTCCGATTCATAGCAACCCTGTTTAGGGTTTCCGAGGAGTGGCTGGTGAGTTTGAACCGCCAACCTTGCAGTCCAAATCCTTATCCTTTATACCCCTGCTTTACATACCATAGTGTTGGAATGCCAGTCTCAGCATTTCTCTAGATCCTGACATAGTAAGCCAGTTGTCATGGAGGTGACTCAGACTAATGGGAGAACTGTGCTCCAGAGGGTGTTCAATGACTTGATCTTTCAGAAGTAGATCAGCAGACCTTTCTTCTGAGGGCCCCTCTAGGTGGACTCCACCCCCGGCCTTTCATTTAGCAGTGTGATTCCCATTTGTACCACCAAGGGATTCCCCTATTGCAGTGGTGGTATTGGTAGTGGTTGTGTGCCACCTAGTCGGTTCTGATTCATAGTGACCCTATGTGAGTTTCTCTGTATGGGAGCAGAAAGTCTCATCTTACTCCTGTGGGGAACTGGGAATTTCGAACTGTTGACCTTGTGGTTAGCAGCCCAGCTTGTAATCCACTACGCTACCAGAGCTTTTCCGTAATATATAGAAAACTCAAAAATCAATTGGCCCCGACTGTCTTGATCTCTGAGGGGTTGGAGTCTATCCTTACCAGCTCAGTCTTCCCTTCATCCAAGGCTAGCCCACATCCTGTAGATCCCATGACATCTGAGCTGACCCTTCTCAGTCCATGCTCAGCTCGCTGCCTCTCATTACTCTTCTCTCCCCTTCCCTGGACCTTAAGCTCCTTGAGGGCAAAGTCATTCCATATAGCCCAGCCTCCAGCATGGTACATGGAACATGGGGATTCTTGATAAATATCTGATTCAGTCAGTAACAGAGTAAGTGTGATCCAGCCAGCCACCTAATTCCTGGGGTGCAGTTGAGAAGTACATTAAATTTTGAAAATTCAAGAATTTTTTTTTTTTTTAATCTTTGCTTTCAGATATCAAATGGATCGACTATAAAAGTCTTTAAGAAGATAGCAAATTTTACTTCAGGTAACCAATATAATATTGTTAACCTTTTGTTTCTCGTTCAGCTTTATAAATTATTGCTTTGCGCCTCTCTCAGATGTATTGCCACAAAGGTGAGATTGAGTTGTTGCTATGTAATTCTCTGAGAGCAGAGAAAAGCTATTTCAATCTGTTTCTGGTACTAAGATGACTGTGAGCTTTTAAGAAGGGAAGGAAATGTAAACAGTGGTTGGCGGGGACTACTCAGCCTGAGGAAGCTGCTTCCTCTTCACAGCCCTAAACTCAGGGCAGACTCTCACCCGTGTAGCTCTTCTACAATTCCTCAGTAGGATGGGGGCTAACAGATGGGATCCCCTTGGCAAACTAATAGGGAAGCTTGCTGATAAATCACATAGCCTTGCAAGTACTGAACAAACAAGATAACCCATTTAGGAAGTCATATGACTGCCCACATCTCCAGCAATAGCATTTGCAAACTTGTCAGAATGTGGAAAAAAATCAACTAAAATCAGAAAACCAGTTGCTGGGGAGTTGGCTCCAACTCATGGTGACCCCATGTGTATCAGAGGTAACTGCTCCACTGGGTTTTCAGTGGCTTTTTTTTTTCTGAAGTAGATTGCGAGACCTTTTTTCCAAGGCGTCTCTGGGAGGACTCAAACCTCCAACCTCTTGGTTGGCAGCTGAGCTCTCTAACCTTTGCACCACCCAGGGCTCCAGATAAATGAAAGACAGCTTTTAAGGGGATGTCAAGAGGCCCATTTCTAAACTCATCTACTTCCTCGATAACCCAGAGTCTAAGAGCGGTCTGTGACAGTGACTGGTATGGACCTGCCTCCAGGGAAACAAACCCAGCTGTCAGTCAGTCAGTCCTCAGTCCTCGGAGCAGCTTGATGGTTCTCAGCACCCAGTCACTGCAAACAAGGAATGCAGGGCTTCTGATAAGGATAATATGGTAGTTGGAGGACACTCCTTTGAAGACATCCCCTTCCCATCACCACATCCAGCTATCATGAAGGAACCTTGTAGAGAGTGGTTGTCATTCTGGGATAAGGGAAATGGTGTCCTTGAGTTGTAAAATGTGGAAGAGGTGTATTTTCAGGTTGGACCTTATTAAGGGTCTGGCAGTAGAATTGTAGACTTGGATCTCCTTGTGGGTCCTGCAGTCAGCCATCATCTCTGCTGCCCCCATGTAGTGACTCTTGTCTTCCCTGCCCTTCAGATCCAGTTGAGAACCATCACTGTGATCACTATCCTGCTAACACTGCAAGCCCCATGGCCCTCTGTCCTTTCATCACCCTTTCTGCAAAACCTCAGCCCTGAATGAACCCAAATAACAGTCTGTCCTGGACCTAAAGCCAGGCTGCCATGGAGAAAGACACACAACAGGGCAATTGGTGGCACTATATTTGATGGTACCCACCTTGACCTGGGCCCTCAACACAGCCTAGTCTTCGCAGTGAGTTAGGCAATTCACTGTGTTTGCCACAGCTCTTTCTTCGAAGGTCTGATCCGCATAGCTTCCTTGACTTCCCGTAGGTGACTTGACCCTCTACTCTCAAAAATCACAACTCCTTCAACATTTAGCACTGAACTTACCAACCTGCGTTTTGCCTCGTTTCCTCCTCTTTCCTTTCTTCCAGAGCTAGTCACCCCACCTGTGCCCTGGGTCTCACAGTCCTTCTGGTCTCCTGAGCATTCTTCTTGTTAACTGCTGTGGAATCCACCCTCCACTCATGGAATGAAATGCTGCCTGGTCCTACTCAGTTATGAATCTTTCACAGTGGCAGTCTCTTCTTCCAGCCATACTGTCTTGCCCTCCCTCCCCTCTACTGCATCCTTTTCATTGGCATTCCCAAATATTCTGCTATCTCTCAGCTTTCCTATTATCCCTTCACTTACCCTTTGTAGCCCATTTTCTTCCTAGCGTTTCCTTACAGTATGTCCATTCTCCCGTTCTCTCTACCTTCAGATCTGTCCTCCTCTCTATTGTAGGACCTTGGCATTTCTTGTTCCCTTTCTTCCATTTGCCTAGCTAACTATCCATTCATTTAAATCTGGTTAAATACATCCCAGATTAGGTTGGTTCCTTGTTAGATACTCTCTAACAAATTATCCTTCTCCAAGTCCTTATCATCCAGTCATTAACTATGTGACTAGTAGTTGGATGTCTCTCATTAGGATTTGTGTGGTGGTGGTTTTTTGCTCTCATGAAGTCAACCTTGGCTCATGGCAACCCCATACACAATGGGAAAAAATGTACCCAGTCCTGGGCCATCCCCCTGATGGGTTGCAGGTCGAACCACTAATATCCATAGTGTTTTCACTGACTGCTTTTCTGAAGTCGATCAGCAGACTTGTCTTGCTAGTCTGTCTTAGTCTGGAAGGTCTGCTGAAACCTGTTGTCTCACAGTTTCATTCAAGCTTCCACTGACAGACACACATTGACCAGGAATTGAACCAGTCTTCTGCATTGTTGTTGTTAAGTGCTGTCGAGTGGGTTCCAACTCAGTGAGATCTTTTAATTCATTGCTATATGCCTGGAGCTTGGTGGCTCCTTAGGATAAACACTGGATTGCAAACCACAAGGTCTGCAGTTTGATCCTGCCAGCCGCTCCAATAAGGCTTTCTGTTCACACAAAGAATTAAAAGCCTCAGAAATACTATGCAGGGTCTCTGAGTCAGAACCTACTGTCGGCACTAATACCACCACATGCATGATAGTCCCGGGCACACAGGAGATGCCCCCAAGATACTTGTTTAAGTGAATGAAACTTGATCCTCTTTTACCTCATCCTCACTAACTTTTAGCCTTTTTTTCTCTCTTCTGGAGACAGGGAATACACTTCCCATTCAATCTCTGGTTCATACGATCTACACATGGTTCTAAAATCATAAGATGCAATGGGTATAAAAAGGTGGCTATGAAGCGCTCACGAAACCTGTTTGGGTTTATGCGATGGCCAATTAGCCCATGGTTATTTTTTTAATGGACTGTTTTCTCCCCCTGTCTCCTGGCGCTTAGATGTGGAATACTCGGATGACCACTGCCATTTGGTGAGTTAAGATTTTCTTGTGCTTTCCATGCTTAGGGTAGCATGAACGTTCTCCTTGGGTAACACTTCATTCTACACTGTCATTCCCTTTAGATTTTACCAGATTCAGAAGCATTCCAAGATGTGCAAGGAAAGAGACATCGAGGGAAGCACAAGTTTAAAGTAAAAGAAATGTATCTGACAAAGCTACTGTCCACCAAGGTACACTGACCCTTCTAGGGGCGCTCCTACGGCTACCTTGGGGGGGGGTGTACTATGTGTTTGACTGAATTTCCACCGAAGTGTGAAAATGTTACAAATCCCTTGTGCCTTCTAGTACAGCAAAATGAAAGTTTAAATCGTAAACACTTCCTACCCCCTTTCTTTTTATATTAACTGCAAAGATAACAGCACTTTACAAATTTCCACTACAGCATCTTCAATCAGGACTTTAATATTATCCCCAGTCCTTTACCCATTGCACTATTGCTATTTTTTAGGGTGACAGCGTAATTACTCCTTTTTGTTTACTTGTTATTATCGACTCTCTCTTTGAATTGCAAATAAAATGAACGTGAATGGGGGAGGCTAAGAGGGTCAGTGACTATAAACCTAGTAAATCTTAATGATTTTCTCTTTTCATTTTAAAATGAAGAATTCTGTTCACATATAAATGTGTCAGATATGAAAAGCAATGGAATACCAAATCAGGAGCCAATTTTTGTGTTATCTGGCTTTTGGAAGGATTAACAGAAATCTGTGGTGGTCCTTTTTTTCTGAAAGAACTAGCACTATAAATTCTATTATCTACACCTGCCCCAGTAACTTGATGGACATGCTTCTTCAGATTATGGCTGTGAATCGGTTTAGAGCTCAGGTATGGTTAGTGAGCAGAGGGCAGTGAGAACCTAGTCTAGATTTTCTCAGCTGTCCCACAGAGCTCTGCCTATTTGGCTTTGGTAAATGACTCAAATGCTTTTGGAAAAGACACAACAAAACCCTATGCTGGAAATATAGGCAACAGGAAGGATTCTGGGAACAGAACAACATAGCTTGAGTTTTTCCAGGCTGAATCGAACTAATAAAAGCCAAACATTCCTGGCTCCTGGGTTTATGTAGGCAGACCTACAACTGTCATTTCAACTGCTAGAGGTTTCTGAGCGGATCTCCTTGTCGATTATCAGTGTTGTTAACAGCAGGAAGCTTATGAACTGAATTTAAACCTGGGCACAGGTTTTCGGGACCTCTGTCCCACACTCATTTGATTTTTTTTTTTCTCTCTCTTCAGACTTTCCCTGTCTTTAGTCTCTATGTCATAGTCTCTACATTTGGATTTTATTTTCTCTTGTGTTTTCCAAACAGCTACCATCTCTACGTATTTTTCATCTGACAAATCCAATGTTCTCTTTCAGGTGGCAATTCATTCAGTGCTTGAAAAACTTTTTAGAAGCATTTGGAGTTTACCCAACAGCAGAGTCCCCTTTCCTATCAAATACTTTTTTGACTTTTTGGATGCCCAGGCTGACAACAAAAAAATCACAGATCCTGATGTTGTACATATTTGGAAAACAAACAGGTGGGAATGTAGGCAATTACTGGCTGTTGTCAAGAATTTGGGACAGAATGTTAGCTAAAATTGAGGGCAAAGGCAGTTAGGAAGATTCCTTTATGCTTAAATCAGAATCTTTGTGCTTAACTCAGAATCTTTGTGTAAACTATCATGTCAGAATAGTTTCTTGCTCTATAATCATTTTTAAACAACAACAAAACCCTACTAAACTGAGAATTCTGTTCTTTAGGATTAAAACAAAATCTGTTGGTTTTAAGGCATGAAAAAGACCATCTAAATCTAAAATGTGAGCACAAGTTTAGCCTGACCAGTAGAATAAGAAATTACCACACAATGTTTTCATTAGAGAGGGCTCTTTTATTTATCCCTAAAAGAATCTGTCATTTTGTAATTTCCAAAATGTTTCCTTCATGCGTGCTCACATGCGTCCAAGTATTGGGGTGAGCCAGAACATTTAATATTAAAAGCTAAGGTCCCATCATCTGTGTCTCAATGTCTCCCATTTAGTCCAGGGCTAGTCCAACGCTCTGCTCCAGTTCACTCCCTTTCTGTGTTCTAGCCTTTTATCCCTCAAGCCTGCTACTCCCACCCCAGTTTTGTGTGCTGCGGCCCACCCTGGCACCAGGAAGATGGTGGCATCTGAGCAAGGGCAGCAGTCAGGACAGTGGAGCAGAAAGTGCCTGGAGCTACTGAGAGAACCAGCAGCCCTAGGAATGGAGGCCAGAGGTGGACCTCTGATAGTTCTCAAGTTCACCGAGTACCTACTGTGTGTGCCAAGCACTGTCATAGGTGCTGAAGATACAGACACACCAGTTTCTGACTAGTCAGTTCTAATTCATGCTGGTCCTATGTGTGTCACAGCAGAACTGTGTTTCATAAAAATTTCAATGGTGGTTTAAAAAAAAAAAAAAAAATTACCAGGCCTTTCTTTCTAGTGAGACTGAAACCTTGAACCTTTTAGTTAGCAATTAACTGAGTGTCTTAACTGTTGACATCACCCAGGTACCCGAATAGAGATGGTGTTGTTGAAATGCTGTCTAGTGAGTTCTGACTCACAGCTACCCTGAATAGGGTTTCCAAGGAGTGGCTTGTGGGTCTGAACGGTAGGCCAACCAACCTTGTGGTTAGCAGTCCAGTGCTAATCGTGCAGTGCCACCCCAGGCGATTTCAGCTCCTGGTGTGATTTATGAGCTGCTTCCCTGTCGACTAGATAACATTGTTACCCTCCTTCTCTGGTCCTTGCTCTCTCAGCCCTAGTGTGGCGCTGTAGGATCAGCACTGGACTACTAACCACCAGGTCAGCAGTTCAAACCCACCAGTCACTCTCAGAAACCCTATACATGGTTGTTTTCGACTCAACGGACACTTAACAACAACTATAATAGCAGCAGTCCTTACTCTCAAGGAGTTCTGAGAGCACACTGGGTTATGTGGGTTAGGTTAAGTGTTGGGCTATTAACTACAAGGTAAACAGTTTGACCTACCTGCTGTTTTGTCTCCCTTAAAGGTTTTCAGCTTTGTTAAATCCTAGACAGGGTCACTGTGAGTCCTTCCTCTCAGTAGCCCTGCCCTGTCAGTTTAACCCTTTTGTTGTTCTCTCTCAGTGACGCTGCCATCTGTTGCTATGTTTGCCAAAGTAGATTTGTGTACTTAGATTACAAGGATAAAAATGCCCGTTTACTAACTGTGATAAGCAGAACATTGGCCTCGTATGAACAGCCTCATTTGAAATCGTTCTTTCTCCTTTTGAACAGCCTTCCTCTTCGCTTCTGGGTAAACATCCTGAAGAACCCTCAGTTTGTCTTTGACATTAAGAAGACACCGCATATCGATGGCTGTTTGTCGGTGATTGCCCAGGCGTTCATGGATGCATTCTCTCTCACAGAGCACCAACTTGGGAAGGTAGGGCTGCACTGCAGTGTGTCTCATACTATGCATTAGAAGTATTAACTCTGCCAAAAATAATACACCATTGGCCTAACCACATCAGCAATGATGATCACTGTAAGTCATTTTGCTCAGAATCTGTCGCAATTTTTTCTATTTTTAATCTAGTTTTTTTTTAAACTGAAAGCTGAAATATTAGACTATATATTGGCTCCACTATATTACAGAATTCTGCCTGTGAAAAAACTTTACCACAAAGTATAGATTTTTGTTTCCTGGAGAAAACATTCTTTGCCTAAATTCGGTCCATGTGAACATACATAAGGGAGTCTCTATTTGAATATGACAAATTGTTTATGGGGAAGAAAATCTTGTCTGTGATTTGTATCACTGCTGGTTTGTCAGTTTATAATCAAAACATGAATTTTGTTTTCCTTGACTGATCTAAAGCCTCCAGAGAGGAAAACAAGATAAAAATACAGACCAACCTCTAAAAAAGGTGTTTTGATCTTATATGAGCATTCCCAAATATGTGAAACTGAGTATATAAAACTAACACATTTCAGAAATCTTTTAATGCTGAATTGAGGCATTTATTTTGGTAAAGGATTTTTTTTTTCCCTTTTAATGTTTT